CCCTGACAAGGCCCTAATTTGAAATAATCCCTAATAATGCCCCAAGTTGGACTAGTCCCTAATTAGGCCCTAATTTTTGAAACGGTCCCTAATAAGGCCATACTTTAATAATCCCTGACAAGGCCCTAATTTGAGAAAGTCCCTATTAAGGCCCTAACTTGGACTACTCCTTAATAAGAGCCTAACTTGAAAATAATCCCTAGGAGGCTCTAATTTGAGATAATCCCTAATAAGACCCTTTTTCGAATAGTCACTAATAAGGCCCTAATGTGGACTAGTCCCTGATAAGGCCCTAATTTTTGAAGTGGTCCCTAACAAGGTCCTACTGTAATAGTCCTGACAAGGCCCTAATTTGAAGTAATCCCTAGTAAGACCCTAATTGGAAATAATCCCTAATAAGATTTTAATTTTGGAAGAGTCCCAGATAAGGGCCTAATTTGAAATTGTGCCTAATAAGCCGCTAATTTGACATTGTCCCTAATGATGCCCTAACTCGAAATACTCTAATAAGGCTCAGAGCACTGGTGCAACCTTAAGTAGCCCCAGGGACCCGGAAGCTGCCAGGGCTAAAAAGCAAGCGCGTTCTGAGTAGCGTTCGCTTGGCATTACGGGTCCTTGTTTAGTTGCAAGGTGAAGGGCTTTCGGCGCAATGATTTGGTTACCTTAAGGGTCCATGCGCCAAATAATGGGGTACTTGGGTTTACGCAGCGGTAATCGTAGGAAAACCGTGGCAGAAATATATGATTACTGGATACTAGGACCCTTAAGGGACTTGTTTCCTGACAAGCCCACGGTCTAAAGTTGAAGGTGGCTCGCAGTTAGGACCCTCCTGGAAACCGAAGCACTCCTCAACAAGCAAGTGTTCCCCAAAAGGCAAGTAGCACAAGAAAATTGTAATCTAAGTTGAATATACATTATATATGGCCAGGGAATCTCGGAACAATTGCTTGCGATGGGTTGTTAGGCTCCCAAGTTCGCACAGCCAGCTGCAATTTCTACGGGCTGGATTGCAAGTGCACCTTGTCTGGGTCTGTTTTCAGGCCCCCTCTGGCATACCGACGGCGGTTAGCCGCCAGCTCTTCCTGCGTCCACTGGTTGTGTTGCTGAAGGAGCGTCCACCAGTAAATGTGGAAGCGACCTGGTGGCATATCCAAGGTTGATCGTGTCCTCTGAGAAATCCAACTATTGAGTTGCTCGCAGGCCTGAGTGTTTTTGCCACGGAGCAGCTCAGCATTCCGAGGCTGCTGAGGGTCAACCTCCGGCATATTTTGCAAACACCAGGTGTGATTAGCACGATGAAAGCCATCCAGGAGCATGGCAACTGTGTCTGCAAATCGCTGGCTTGGGAGCCCGCGAATGTTGCGAAGTTCGCGTGCCTTTTGAAGTAACTTGCAAGCGTTGTCGTACGCCACTGTCCGCAGTGTGAGGTTGCGGTGCTGCATGTCCATGTACAAGCGAAGGGCAAACGCATACACAAGCTCGATCTGCTCTCCGCGCCATAGCTCCACGAAGTCTGCCAGGAAACCACATGTGAGGACAGCAGTCAGAATACCTCCAGTTGTTTTGCGTCGCTTGAGCGGGTTGGAGTCGTCTTTATCGACTGCACAGCTGGCCTTGGCAGGCTGAGGCTTCAAGCGAACTGTAGTTTTGACAGCCTTTTGCTTGGCCGTGCTGGATGGCACGGTCGCTGGAACAGGAGTTTTTCGAGTCAGCCGTCGTCTCGATGCGCGGAAAAAGGAGCACGTCTCGAGACGAGGCTTCAGCCACTTGGCCGTGCGCTTGTGTCCTTTCACGTACATGGGCTTCTTGTTGCGGTGCTGCTTCTTGTTGGCCAACAACCCCTTCTCAAATTGCAAGAGCAAGGATCGCTGTACTTGCTCCCGTGGAAGAAGCAGCTCCACGGTCCGGTCGTCATTGGGGTCCTTCGTCGTCGGGTCCTTCGTCTCAACGAAGAAGAAAGTGTCAGCTCCGGGCATGTCGGGACCTTGAAATGCGGAGTGTGATAGCTGTAAAAAAACCCAAGAGTTCCAAGATAAAAAGAACATTGCAACTAAAGTTTGTTTAAAAATCGTGGATCGGCCTGTGTTGCTCAATCTGTTTTTCTTAGTTGGAGCGGGGCAGTGTTTTGCCACATCAACCGTTGAAGTGTTTTTTTCCAATCGCAAGAATCCGTTGTTGAAGTTGCTCAGTTCCGCCAGGTTCCCCAATCAAAGTGCGAAATTTCCGTTAGGGTTGAAGGCTCTCTTTGTGGTTCATTGCCACGCACCTTGGGTTTCGGGGTTGGGGTTCCTAAAGTTTAGGGTTTAGAGTGGACAGGGGGTTTTTCATGAGGGAATATCTTAGGGACTAGACGAAACTAGCAAAAAGATTTTCGCATCCACTCTAGCTGGCCCCTTGCAAGGCCTAATGCCAAGAATACCTCAATAGAAACACCCGAAGAGGGAAACCCTAACCTTTACATCAGGATCTAATTACAACGAAACAGGAGAAAATACAACCAGACGGGGGAAAACACAACTGAACCACTGTTGTGGGCTCTCCCAAAACGGGAGAAATTACAACTGGCTATTCCGGTGCCTTTATAAGTTTGGACACGCTCTGCAGAAAACCCATGGCACAGCCTTAAGGTTCCATTACCAAAGCTGGATAATGGTGCTTGTGATTCGTCCCTTCTCTTTGCGCCCTAGCATGAATGAGGACATAACATATTTATGGTGATTATTTCGGTTTGTTTGCTTCCGGTCATGTAGGCGCGACAGGCATGTAGGCAATACTTAACATGGTCGTGTGGTGGGGTGCTGGTGCTGGTGCTGGTG